TATATGTTTGGGTTAATGTCTGGAGTCTCTATTTTGTTCCACTGGTCTGTGGCTCTGTTCTTGTGTCAATACCAAATTGTCTTGATTGCTGTGGCTTTGTAGTAGAGCTTGAAGTTGGGGAGTGAGATACCCCCCACTTTATTCTTCCTTCTCAGGATTGCTTTGGCTATTTGGGGTCTTTGGTGTTTCCATATGAATTTTTGAACTATTTGTTCCTGTTCGTTGAAGAATGCTTTTGGTAATTTGATAAGGATTGCATCAAATCTGTATATTGTTATGGCAGAATGGCCATTTTGACGATATTAATTTTTCCTAGCGAAGAGCATGGGATGAGTTTCCATTTGCTAGTATCCTCTTTAATTTCTCTTAGGAGAGTCTTATAGTTTTCAGGGTATAGGTCTTTCACTTCCTTGGTTAGGTTTATTCCTAGGTATTTTATTCTTTTTGATACAATTGTGAATGGAATTGTTTTCTTGATTTCTCTACTAGTTCATTGTTAGTGTATAGGAAAGTCACAGATTTCTGTGTGTTAATTTTGTATCCTGCAACTTTGCTGTATTCTGATATCAGTTCTAGTAGTTTTGGAGTGCACTCTTTAGGGTTTTTTATGTACAGTATCATGTCGTCTGCAAATAGTGACAGTTTAACTTCTTCTTTACCAATTTGGATTGGTTGTATTTCTTTGTTTTGTCTAATCGCTGTGGCTAGGACCTCCTGTACTATGTTGAATAACAGTGGAGAGAGTGGGCATTCCTGTCTTGTTTCATGTCTCAGAGGAAAAGCTTTCAGCTTTTCACTGTTCAGTATGATGTTGGCTGTGGGCTTATCATATCTGGCCTTTATTATGTTGAGGTACTTGCCCTGTATACCCAATTTGCTGAGAGTTTTTACAATGAATGGATGTCGATTTTTGTCAAATGCTTTTTCAGCGTCTATGGAATGATCATGTGGTTTTTGTCTTTCTTTTTGTTTATGTGGTGGATGATGTTGATGGACTTTCGAATGTTGTACCATCTTTGCATCCCTGGGATGAATCCCACTTGGTCATGGTGTATGATCCTTTTGATGTATTTTTGAATTCAGTTTGCTAATATTTTGTTGGGTATTTTTGCATCTACATTCATCAGGGATATTGGTCTGTAATTTTCTTTTTTGGTATGGTCTTTGCCTGGTTTTGGTATTAGGGTGATGTTGGTTTTATTGAATGAGTTTGGGAGTATTCCCTCCTCTTCTATTTTTTGGAAATCTTTAGGGAGAATGGGTATTATGTCTTCTCTGTATGTCTGATAAAATTCCTAGGTACATCCATCTGGCCTGGGGGTTTTGTTCCTGGGTAGTTTTTTGATTACCACTTCGATTTCTTTGCTGGTAATTGGTGTGTTTAGGTTTTGTGTTTCTTTCTTGGTCAGTCTTGGAAGGTTGTATTTTTCTACGAAGTTGTCCATTTCTTCTAGGTTTTCCAGCTTCTTATTATATAGGTTTTAATAGTAGTGTCCAATAATTCTTTGTATTTCTGTGGGGTCTTTTGTGATGTTTCCTTTCTCGTTTCTGATCTGTTGATGTGTGTTGATTCTCTTTTTCTCTCAATAAGTCTGGCTAGAGGCCTATTTTGTTTATTTTCTCAAACAACCAGCTCTTGGTTTTGTTGATTTTTTTTTTTTGTATTGCTTTACTCTTCTCAATTTTATTTATTTCTTCCCTGTTCTTTATTATGTCCCTCCTTCTGCTGACATTAGGTGTTGTTCTTCTTTTTCCAGTTTTGATAATTGTGAGGTTAGACTGTTCATTTGGGGTTGTTCTTCCTTCTTTATATATGCCTGGATTGCTATATACTTTCCTCTTAAGACTGCTTTTGCTGTGTGCCACAGAAATTGGGGCTTTGTATTGTTGTTTTCATTTGTTTCCATATTTTGCTGTATCTCCATTTTAATTGGGTCGTTGATCCATTGATTATTTAGGAGCATGTTTTTAAGCCTCCGTGTGTTTGTGAGCCTTTTTGCTTTCTTTGTATAATTTATTTCTTGTTTTATACCTTTGTGGTCTGAAAAGTTGGTTGGTAGAATTTCAATCTTTTTGAATTTATTAAGGCTCTTTTTGTGGCCTAGTATGTGTCTATTCTGGAGAATGTTCCATGTGTACTTGAGAAGAATGTGTATCCTGTTGCTTTGGGATGTAGAGCTCTATAGATGTCTATTAGGTCCATCTGTTCTAGTGTGTTGTTCAGTGCCTGTGTGTCCTTACTTATTTTCTGTCTGGTGGATCTATCCTTTGGAATGAGTGGTGTGTTGAAGTCTCCCGAAATGAATGCATTGCATTCTATTCCTTCCTTTAGTTCTGTTAGTATTTGTTTCACATATGCTGGTGCTCCTGTGTTTGGTTCATGTATATTTATAATGGTTACATCCTCTTGTTGGAGTGAGCCCTTTATCATTATGTAATGTCCTTCTTTATCTGTTGTTCCTTTCTTTGTTTTGAAGTCTATCTTGTCTGATATTAGTACTGCAACACCTGCTTTTTTCTCCCTATTGTTTGCATTAAATGTCTTTTTCCATCCCTTGACTCTTAGTCTGTGTATATCTTTGGGTTTCTTGTAAGCAGCATATAGATAGGTCTTGCTTTTTTATCCATTCTATCAGTCTGTGTCTTTTGATTGGTGCATTCAGTCCATTTACATTTAGGGTGATTATTGAAAGATATGTACTTCTTGCCATTGCAGGCTCTAGATTCGTGGTTACCAAATGTTCAAGGTTAGCTTTTTTAGTATCTTACTGCCTAACTTAACTTGCTTATTGAGCTATTATAGACACTGTCTGGTGATTCTTTATTTCTCTCTCTTCTTATTCCTCCTCCTCCATTCTTTGTATGTCGGGTGTTTTATTCTGTGCTCTTTTGTGTTTCCTTTAACTGCTTTTGTGGGTAGTTGATTTTCGTTTTTGCCTTTAGTTAATATTTTGGTTGATCTGCTTTCTTTGCTGTGATTTCATTTTCTCTGGTGACATCTGTTTAGCCTGAGGAGTGCTCCCATCTATAGCAGTCCCTCTATAATACCCTGTAGAGGTGATTTGTGGGAGGGAAATTCCCTCAACTTTTGCTTGTCTGGGATTTGTTTAATCACTCCTTCATATTTAAATCATAATCGTGCTGCATATAGCATTCTTAGTTCAAGGCCTTTCTGTTTCATTGCATTTAATGTATCATGCCATTCTCTTCTGTCCTGTAAGGTTTCTGTTGAGAAATCTGATGATAGCCTGATGGGTTTTCCTTTGTAGGTGACCTTTTTCCTCTCTCTTGCAGCTTTTAATCCTCTGTCCTTGTCCTTGGTCTTTGCCATTTTAATTATTATATGTCTTGATGTTTTCATGGTTGGGTCCCTTCTGTTGGGAGTTTTGTGTGCTTCCATGGTCTGAGCAACTATTTTCTCCCTGAATTTGGGGAAGTTTTCAGCAATTATTTCTTCAAAGACACTTTGTGTCCTTTTTTCTCTCCCTTCTTCTTCTGGTACCCCTATAATGCGAATATTGTTCCTTTTGGATTGGTGACAAAGTTCTCTTAATATTGATTCATTCCTGGAGATCCTTTTCTCTCTCTCTGCATCAGCTTCTATGCATTCCTTTTCTCTGGTTTCTGTTCCATCAGTAGCCTCTTGCATCTCCTCCATTCTCCTTATAAGTCCTTCCAGAGATTTTTTCATTTCTGTAATCTCCTTCTAGATGTCATGTCTTAGGTCTTGCATATTTCTCTGCAGCTCCATCTGCATGGTTATCCATTTATTTTGAAGTCTTTTTCTGGGTGATTGGTAGGTCTATCTCCCCAGATTCCTTCTCAGGGTGACTGTCTGGGTTAGTCTGGTCTGTATCAAATTTTTCTGCCTTTTCATTGCAATAGAGGTAGTTGTGGGAAGCTGGTGTATGTGTCGGCTGGGAGAATGTCCTTTCTTGCTGGTTTGTGGCCTTCCTTTCCTGGGAAAACAGCAACCCCTAGTGGCTTGTGCTGGGCAGCTGAGTGCAAATGACATTTCTATTTCTTGCCCGCCACTGTTAAAGAATCTCTGCCCTTCCTCTGTGAGTGTGGCCAGCCTCAGGCTGCTGCTCCACTATGGTGGAGTTGAGTTGGAGGGGAAATGGGTGGGAGGCTGTTTATCACTGTGAGGGGCCTCCAACGTGTGCGGCTGCCCATGGGGTTCGGGTACCTGCAGTTCCCCTGGATTCCCAGCTGCTGGGCTAAGTGTCCCGGGGCTTTTCTGTCCAGCTTTGGGGGCCCTGGCCCTTTACGTCTTTCGAAAAGGACTCACTTTTCTTTGTTCCAGGGGCGCCGGCTGCAGGGACCTGTTCACAGGTCTTACTGTCCTGTTTCCCTAGCATCCAGCACACCACGCAGTGTGTGTCTGTGCTCCAGTGCGGATGCCTAGGGCTGGGTGTTTAACAGTCCTGGGCTCCCTCTCCCTCCCTGCTCTGACTCCTCTCCTCCCGTAGGGAGCTGGGGTGCGGGGTGCTCGGGTCCTGCCTTGCCTTGGCTTGTATCTTACCCACTTCGCAAGGCGCTGGAGTGTTGCAGGTGTAGATGTAGTCTGGCTGTTGTCCTGTGTCTTCTGGTCTCTCTTTTAGGAATAGTTGTATTTGTTGTATTTTCAAAAATATATATGGTTTTGGGAGGAGATTTCCACTGCTCTACTCACGCCGCCGTCTTGTCTCCGCCTCTGTGGCTAGCTTTTATATTATCTCAATGATATTTTTTATGCACAGAACTGTTATTCTATTAATGAAAGAGACTAAGAATTTCTTTAAGATTTGGAAATCAGAATGTTAAATTTTCATGTAGCAAAATCACACATTTATATTCCAGAGTAGCATAATTTATATTCGTTAAAGGTAACACATTATTTTATTATTGCTTCATTGCTAAAAGAAAAATAGTATTTGACTTTAAAATTTGGGGAACCAATTAATTAAATTTTCAGTTACTTAATATTAATTGTGATAAAATTGTTTTCATCATTTTAGATATTAAGGATGAAAATGATACAGTACTGAATACTGAGGAGGTGGCATCTTTGGAGGAATATATTCCTACTCGACATACAAGTGTTACTCTACTCAAATGTACCTGCACAGTTTCCATGGCTGAATTCAACTTGCTGGATCATTTACTACCTGTCATTATGGGAAAAAAGGTATATTTTGCTATTGACTACTTGTTTTCTCATATATGCATATTTTTTTGTCCTGTGATATTGTACTGGGAAGGTAACTAAGTAAAAGAATATCTTTTCACTATACTAAGAATATAGTATTCCACGATGAAGTTACTAAACCAATGTAACTGATTAATTCTTAAAAAATAATTTGTGTATAAATGCATAAATACATATATACACACATATATATATATGTATACATATGTATTTTAAAGAAAAGCTAAGACTATACAAAGAAATATTGAAGAACATGGGCCTAGAAGTCACACCATATACTATCTATGACACCTTATGATACCATGCTTTAATCTTTAAGGTTATTTTCCTTTTCTGAAAAATAATACGGACTTATATTTCTCAGGTAGCTGACAGATTCATCCAGTAAATAAACAACAAGTCTAGATAATATTCAGATAGTTTATTAGTTATATAGACAGCAAAAGCAAATCAGTAGTGGTGTCAGCTTGCTTATCCCTTAAGGACAACCCTCAAATCAGAGGGTCAAATGACATGCAACACACATGGTAGTATACTGTGTTGACGGGAATTCAAATCCACACTGCAGCTAAGCAGTTATATAGCCTACAGCTGTGCTCTAAGAGGGTGAGTAGAAAGTCCCATATCTCACCTGAATGAGGAATGTTGATGAGAAAAATGTCTCATATATAAATGAGAAGGAAAGTGAGAAATAGTCTTAGCAGATCCTCAGAAGATCATATACCTTCCCTGATTCTGAGAGTGTCACAGAATGTTCTACCAAGGCATGGGTCTGCTGTGGTTGATCCTTGCCTTTGTGATCTGCAGGGATTTGTGTAAGATTGTCACGGTGTTGGCACAGAGCACTGCCCCTACCATACCTAGCTCCTTGTATTACTTTTAATATTCAGTGAGATAATGCATGTAAACCATTTTGCATATATTAGGAATCAAGTGATTACTACTGTTAATGTTAATGAGAATGTATTAGATGCTTAATATTTGTTTAAGGTCCATATACACTGCTTTCTAGATATGTTGGCATATACATATAAGGTATTATCTGTTACTCTTATTTTTTTGATTACATTTTATTTAATATCTATGTAATGATGATGATGATTATAGATGTAAAAGTGTCCTGACATTAAATAAGAACTTGTGGAAGTTTGACAAGCAATTGACTATGATGCAGTTGTTTTATTTTGTATATATATATTTTGTATGTTATATATATGTTCTCTATTGGCCACTCATAATTATGTTGCTGGTTAAAGAGATCTGCAGGTGAAAATTTCAATAGAGAAAATTAAAACATTTTACTGAATATTTTAAGTTGTGAACTTTAAAAAATATGAGTGATTAATGAGTTGAGGAAGGAGACAAAAAGAATATTTGAAAAAACATCTTAGTCCATAGGAAAAAAAAAAAGAATCAAATGAAATTTTGAAACTGAAAACTAATGCCACTTAAAAGTAAAAGGATGGGAAAAGGTACGTCATAAATTGTAATCAAAGGAAAAAGTAGTGGAGCTATTTTAAAGCCAAAAAATGTAGAAATAAAAAGAGCCAATTTATAATGATAAAGGTGTCAACTCAAAGAAGGAACAGCCTAGGTAATACTCATAGATGTTATATTGAATGAAAGCAGTAGGCATGAGTATAAACTATATGATGATCTAAAACTGATCCATGGTGATGGAAATGAGAATGTTGGCTACTGCTGGTGGGGATTCGATATATCCTAAGAAGGGACATGGGAGAGCCTTACTGGATGCTTGAAACATATGGTCGTTTATATATATATATAGTTGGTTTATATATATAGTTGAGCTCTACATTTGATGTTTGTGTGCCCTACATATGTTATACCTCAATAATCCAAAATAAAGTCACTTAAAAAAGTAAAGTAATTGTCCAGGAAGTGGTGTTTTAAAAATTACTAATAATAAGTCATAAAAGCAGGATTATATATTCAACTTAGTTGATTTTAGGAACAGTGTTTCTCAGTAATGGCATATTGGCTTTTTGGACTGGAGAAGTATTATGTAGCATTTACTAACAGTCAGAGCCTGCTAAATGCCAGTACTGTGCCCCAATTATTGTGACAATGAAAGACAGACAAAACAAAACAATGAAGCAGCTCTTCCCACATATTTTGTATACCTCTGGATGAAAGAACTTTTTCTTATTGAGAACTACTGGTATGGCATTATAAGGGAGTAACTTCTAGGACAGGAAAGGGTTGCTTGCTAATCAGGGTTCACACTCTGGACATTTTGAAACTTACATGCATTTATTTGGAAGATTAGAAAAGATCTGTAACACTGAAAATGCAAAGCCCACCTTGATATTCTTAAGTTTTTTGAGCCTTTAGCATGTGTATCATTAATAGATACGATATGGGTCAAAAATATTTCTTTCCTGCAAACTTTGCTGCTTGTGACTAATTTTGAAACATCAGGATTGGTCCACTTAATCATATAAATGTGAATAAAGGGAACAAAGATAAAAGGTGGCTGGCTCTGGGATATCTAGGAAATATTTTGGAATGATTGAGCGTAAGAAAATAATCTTAATGTAGTGAGTCACTGGTGAAATATTCCAGTTGACTGGAAAAATAAAAAGCTTGGGCTAAAAGGGCAGTGATAAATTTACAATAAACATGCATTCTTTGAAATCTGGGACATAGCTTGAAAATATGTAGAAGGTGTTTGTATTTGGGTTATGATAAGAGAGTCCCATAGAAAGGCATCATTTCTGGATTGATTTGATAACACTGCAAAATGTACTAGTCTGAACCTTATCTAGAAGGCATTGCACATCAGTAACTGTTCTTTTGAAATATAAAGTGAACATTGTTATTTTTCAGAGTTCAAGTAACTTCATGAATACCACCAACTTCCAGTCTCTTCGGCCCTTGCCATCCATTCAGATATTGGTGGATAAAATTAATCTGGAACATTCTGTGCCAATGTATGCTGAGCAGTTGGTGCCTGTGGTCAGCAGCCTTTCTCAGCCTTCTGATAATCTGCTTCACTATTGCTATTCACACTGCTACCTTAAGGTATGAAAGGTGAATTTTCTCATTTATTAGTGTCTGGTTGGCTTTGGAAGAATGAAATCTTTTCTCTTGGAGTTGTAATTTCACAAAATCAGTGGCTCATAATATAATATTGAAAATAAAATATATTCATTATTCAACATAATTAAGTAAAATGAAAGTGTACCTGTTTTAAATATATTTCAGTTACTTGGGATTAATAGCTTGATGTTTGTAAGATAATAACAGTTTGTGAAGATTTTATGTATCGATGATATTTATCAACTGTTGAAAGAGCACTTAGTTTTTAAGAATGCTTTAAAAGACTCATTTCTTGGAGGGGAACATTTATTGTGAGACTGTTTTTTAAAGAGGGTTTAACACATTTCTATTACAGTCCCTTTCCTCTTACTGAACTCCTGTCAATTTCTTGATGCAGAGGGAAAATTTATTTATTGCTTTAAATTAAATTATGTAAGGTTAATTTTTGAGGGCTTTGCTCAGCTCGTCCATATCTTTTTTTTTTTTGGAAATAAATAATACATTCCCCACATAGGTACATACAAAAAGATAAAACTCAAATGTTGAGTAGTAAATGTGTTTACTAAGCAAACACAGATGTGTAGTCTAAGTAGAGACAACATATACATAATCATTAAATTTTGTTTTATGGACTAAAGGAAACTATATAAGTTGCATTCATGAATAAGTGCTAAAAATACCCTAAATTTCATGTAAGAACTAACAAATTAGAGGACTCCAAAAATAGACTCCTGACTTTACTGGTTTGTGCTTTATTGTTTGACATTTCAAAGTTCTTAAATATTTGCCTTTTGCAAAGGAAAAAGAAACCAATTTAAAAGTATCAGTTTTAGATCACCCCCAGGTATATTCAGATGTAAAATTTGACCATTTTCAAACCATGTAGAGTAGATGGAGGACTGACAGTATCATGTTATGAAGGGGTGTAGACAGGCAAGTGTGATTCTTTGAGGGTCCCTTTTATAATAGTCTGTCAGTGTTTTGTGTCATGCAGAGAGTAGCAGAAAGTATTTTGGAAAACTAGATATGTAGATAATGTTTTCTACATTTGTATTTTTTTTCAATCCCACAATACATTGAGGTGTATGAGTTTGAAAAAATATTGATACAACTTGAATAATGTTGGGAATATTTGCCTTGTTTTGTTGAAACAGATCTAATTTTTGGCAATTCACTAATCATTCCAAGGTACTCTACCTATGTAGGATTCATTAATTTGGTAAACATTAAGTTCCTCATATATTGCAGACATGCAGCCTTAAAGGTGAATAATGCATGCCCATCCTCAAGGAAAATGGTCACGAAAGCCATTGGTCAGCAATATTGTTGTCATCCATACTGACAAAGAAGTTATTGGAGTAGTTGTTTATCACTACTATTTGTTACTATGTTAAAAGCTCACTTAAATTTTCAGGGTAGTGTGAAAGTTACAGTGAAGCTCAGATAAATTGTGTTTTGGCAACAGGTCTCTTGGTACACATGCTGTCTAGTTGTCTTTTGTGTTTTGGTTAGTTTGACTTTAGCAATCCACAGTGGATAAATTAAACGTCCCAGGAAGTTAGGTGTTTGGCAGACAAACTTTTCATTGGTATTAAGAATACTGAATATTTACAAAAATAAAGCTTTGAGTGTTAAATACTTCATTGTGTTTTTGATGCTAGTTCAGTGGCCGTGTACATTTTAAAGCTTTCAGGATTTAGTAGAGTGTTTTAGTTTGTATTACTATTTGGAACTGACTCAAAATACCAATTTGTTATAAGGTTAATAGTAGTTCATGTAACTTGGGATGATTACTATAACCTTTGAAGAAATTTTCAAAGTTTAATTTTCAATATTATAGTGTTACAATATTACAGTAGAGGATTTAAATGTCTTTCATGTACGTGTGGCATATTATATTCTAAGTAATTTCAATCAAGTGCTCAAATGCTTAAGTTTTAACTTTGTGCACCTAAATTTGCCTATTTCATGTAATTAAATTTATTAATTAAGAGAGTTGGGCATGGATGTGTGAGGAAAACATGCAGATGAAACTTTCATCTTTTAGCAAATCTCTATTTAGCTGTTATTGAATATATATGGCACTAGGTAGCTAAGACTGCAAAGCATTTGATGTTACAAACATGCGGAAAATAAGTTAGTGAAAGTATGTTATAAACTGTAGAATAATATGTAAATTTAAGGCCTTTTTACATGGATCAGCTCTGTCAGATGCTTCAAAGAGAGATCAAGGAGGTTTATGGTAGAATCAAAACCCTTTGGATTTTTTAGATTTGACAATTTTTTGACCTCTATCAGTTTTCTCTGGGCATTTGGAGGAATGGTGCTTTCATATACAGCTGGTGGGTGTATAAATTGATACCATTTTGGAGAATACTTTTTGCAAGGTCTAATAGATTTTAAAACACATCGTACACCTATCCATTCTAATTTTCAGTACACCTTCTACAGTAGGGGTTAGCAAACTTATCTCTAATATGCTAGATAGTAAATATTTTAGGCTTTATGGGCCAAGAGACAAAATTTGAGATATCATGTAGGTACTGAAATAATGAGAGAACAAATTTCCATAAAGTTTGAGTTGATGAAATTCAAAATATAATACTCTTTTTGTAAAACAGTTTTACTAATGAGAAGAATAGAATCATTTTTCTTGGGATAATAGTTTACCTTACTGGGGTTCCAACTTGGTGTCCCCTATCATCAAATCGATTATAAATGTTCATTTATAAAAATTATTTTTAGGTTGTAGACAATATGAAACAGGCAGTGGGTAGAATTTGACCTGTGGGCTGTAGTTTGCTAACCTCTGACCGAGAGAAATTTTTCATATGGAGATATATACAATAGAGGTCTATGTATGCTCACGTGAATAGCTCTCTACCACAAAATTTTTGGTGGGAATATCAGGAAGCATAAAGGTATATATAGTATGATGCCATTTATGAGAATGAAGAGAACAAAATAATGTTAAAAGTTATTCACAGATATAAAGTAGTTTATAAAAATATAACAAATGGACAAGATATATTCTAAACTGAAAGTGGATTTAGCTGATCTGGGTGTGGTTGGGGGTGTGTAGTGGGATGGTAAAGGTCATGGTTAAAGTAGTCTTTAGCTGTGGTGTAAGGTTTTTTATTTTTTAAATATGACTATTGAGATAATTTATATATTATAAATCCTCCTTTGTTAAGTAATAGAAATTAGTGATTTTTAGTATCAACAACTCAAATTGTTGGTGGAAAAAAAACAAGAGAAAATACTTAATTTCATAAGAAAAGAATACAAGTATCAGTGTCAGTTTAGGGTTTATTTTTGTTTCAATAGCTACAAAACCAGTAACTAGGTTTAGAGGGTGTAAGAAATGAGTAGGCAATGAGAAAAAATGTAGCCTTCTACAGGCTTCTCTTTATAAAGATATTTGCTGATGAAAGGTGAGAAATGGAATGTTACTAATGGTTTGATGTGAGCTGGTGGTGAGAAAGAATGTTTCTTTAAGAATAAGTGGAGAATCAACCATACTTTTTTGGAGAGGGAAAGGAAGAAATGTAGAGAGGAAGCAAGACAGAGTGAAATTATGAGCTAATAGATGAGCTAAATCAAATGAAGCATCATGTTGCTGTTCTGGCAATATGTAATTCTGAAGAAGTCTTACATCCTTTTGGACTTCATTTTCCTCATATGTGAAATGAGGTAATTTAGCTCAACAGTTTTAGCTCTAAAGTTAAAAATTTTAATCAACTATGTCTGATTCTATCATAGTCCCCTGAAAGCTTTCCTTTGTAAAATGTTTATTATTATGCTGTAGAATTCTGGTTATAATCATTCTTCAGTTTTTATGTGTCCAGTGTATTACTGTATACAGATTAACTTTTGACCTGAAGGTAAGTGCTTGATTTTTCTTTTCCCCTTAAGAAAGGCACAAATCTTTAGGATGCTGGTTTTATTATTTTACTACTGGGTGTCTTACAATGGCAACAGCATAAAAATGATTTGTTTTATATCATAATGATTATGTGTTTTTATTGTCATTTACAGTTAGTGTGTGCTTTTTATAGCATTTGTCTTTTTGCCATTGTAAATCCTAATTTAGCATACCAACTTTTATTAAAAACTTGAAGTTTTGTTTCTAAATACAGTTTCTTCTACTCGAGATGTTGTTTCAATAACAGTTGTAAAGTATTAAAATACAGATGCTGTATTTTTTTATTTTCTAATTGGGTTTTAAAAAGTTTATATATTTAACTTTTCAATATGATGTGATTATTCAACTTAACATTTCCTTCAGCTAAAATTTCCATTAGTAATTACACTTACTGCTTTACATACTCCTCCCACTTCAGACTATTTGTAGTGTTCAGTATTTTTATTCTATTTGTAAATGTTTGAACTGTCCTTGCTGAGAGCAACCTTAATTCATACTGTGCTGGTTTTCCTTTTTCTACATAAAGTATTTGTAATCTTGGTTAGGAGTTGTTGAGAAATTATTAGATCATTTAGGTATTGTAAATCTATATATCATTGCTGTAATTTAAAAGAGTTGAAAGTTGGTTATTTTGAAATAATTATTTTTGATGTGGTAGATAGGCTGTTTTTCATTATAACTTATACTTGCTTGAATGTTCCCTTAGAAGTATCCCTGGACAATATGTAATTTAGTAAAAGCTTTAAAAAAATTACGGAATAGTTTCCCCAGAGTCATTTGCAGTTATGCAAACAACCAGCAGGGGATCTCCTCTACACCCAGTTTCCATCTGAGAGTAGCTAGTGATAGTGTCTGTGATTATACTGTTGGGGCATTTTATAGAATATTACAAAGTAGCTTGAGAGTGTTCTTAGTTGAACATAGATAATCTAATGTGATAAAATCTTATCCTAATTCATACTCTAGAAAAACTTCAAGGTTGGGCAGTTTTAGTGTTTTTTATTAAGTGCTATTAACAATTGTAAATCTCAGAATCCTTTAAATAATGGAGATTTCAGAATAAATATGAAATGTTATAATTGAACAATGCCCAGAAGTTCTTTGCATACATTTTTGCTCAGAACAAGTCTTCAAAAATAATGAATATAAAAAAATTTTTTTTTTAAGGTTGGTTATTTAAATATTAGAAACATGTTTTTTTCTTTCTCTTCCTCAATTCTGTACTTCTTGCCACTTGGCTATTAGTGGAACTTACAGAAATTAATAGTGTATCATTTTCATTTTCCTTGATAGGTAAGTAGGTACTTTGAAATGCAGTTTTCTCTGAAAATATGTAACTCTAACTAGTGTCTTATTTCCAAAAAATTATTTTGTTCACTGAAAACTGATTTTAGAGGAAAGGATTTGGCGTTGTCAGTTTGATGAATGATAGGGGCATAATGGCTTTTTGAAACTATTTGGAAGTAGCTTAATACTTTATAACAAATTGATTAGCTTATGCTCATTAAATGAAAGTTGTTTTGAAAATTAGTTACTGAAAAATTTTAAACATGTACAATGTAGCAGTTAATATTAGTCTTAGAGATAGGGAAGTCAGTGCTTTATAAACTCAAGGAATAAAAAATGAGAGAGAAATGGGGTTAACCTGCTTTTGCATGTTGTTGGAAAATAGTAACTGTTTGTTTTGTGTCCTTGTGTGTCAGTGTTTTCTGTTTTGAGACATTTATCTTTACCTTAAAGGAAATAATTGGAGCAGAAATATCACAGTCAGTTCTGTGCAATGTTTCATGTAAAATGTGATGTAGTTATTCTTCCTATTAAGGCAAATACAGTGTTCAGGAATTTCAGGGAATGCTTTTAAAAATTTTTAGTGTAATCTGCTTGTTTTAAGTATAAACATGAAAAGTAATATATGCCATGTACCAAATTTCCTGGGGTGAAACACCTCAGATCTACAATTGTTTTCACAAAAGAAACGGGAAAGATGTCACATTTTAAGGCATATTTGCATATCCCTTTTGTGCCTGCTTAATGTAAGTTCAAGGTAAAATACATTTTTAAGATTGTTCTTCTAGTTACTGTTCTTTTAGGCATAAAATGATTATTAGCAACTTACTGAAGTTCATATCTACAATGTGCACAGTGCAGTCAGTTGTTTATATAATAGAAAATTTGCATTTTACCAGTGAAACACTAAATGAACATTATGTATAGGAATAAAATGTGAAACTTAAAGTCAGTTAAAAAAAATAAACACAGATCTTTCAGGGATGTGGAAGAAATACTGTATGTTAAATCTCTTAATTCTGACTTAGTTAATGTCAAATTGAGTAAAAGAAAATGTTAATGTTTGGGAAGTGGAAAAAGACATTGGAACATATTTAGTGTGCAGCTGTTGTAGAGCAAATTGAAACTGACGTATTTCACCCTGTGCTTATTAAAACTTAGTCTCTGTGAACATGTGGATCTTTTCTTTTTGTTTCAGATATTTGGTTTCCAGGCAGGACTGATGTCTTTGGATTGTAGGGGATCTTACTGCTTACCTGTACCGATTATTCCCTCTTTCAGCACTGCTCTTTATGGTAAACTTCTGAAACTACCCACATGCTGGTAAGTATTATGTTAAAATGTGGTTTACAGTAATTTTCATTTATTTCCTTAGGAGGGGAAAAATCCAATTGTATCTGTCTTACGCCAGTGCATTAGTTTTATACAAAGCTTTAGAAAATTATCTTAAGCTATATTGTCCTTTACTGAGACACTAAAATCTCTTTTTAGATCATAGTATGTTTTGTCATAGTGATAACTGTTGTTGTAATAACTGTTAATCCATGTTGGAGCTGTAGTAAAATGTTGCTGCTTCATGCTGTAATAGGAATTGCAAGAGTACATACCTTTTTTTTTCCCTTTTTGAGAAAATACTTTTTTTTTAAAGTTGCAAATTAATACCAAGGCCAAAGTATTTATCATCTAAATAGTAAGTCATGTGTATTCACAGCCACCGAGGATGTGTACCCACGATATAGATTTGGAATATTTGACATGTCTACATATAGTCACTGCAGTTTGGATGAAACTTATTTTTGTCCTTATATTTATTCAGTATTGGGTTACTTTTTTAGGAGGTCCTATTTCCTTAAATTCAAAGAGATTTATAGAAAGAAAGCCAGTAGTTACTAAACATCTTTTTTTTTTAGTTGAAAGCAATACTTTTAATGTATCAAAAAAATAGTTGTTTAAACATATGAAATAAGGTTTAAGTATGTGAAATTATATTCTTGTGAAATATTCCTACATTTTAAAATTTAGATTACTTCAATTATTTGGAATATACTTTTGCTTTTTTATCCTCATTAGTAAGCTTATTATTACAGGATGTATTTCCACTGGTTATTTAAGAAAAACAGCATAACTTTCAAAAAGTAGATATTAATCACTTTATCTAAAATACCTCATTTGCTGAAAATTTGTTTCTTTAGTAGTTTAAAACTTTGAAATGAAATTTGTATAGTAAATGCTTACATCTTCAGTGAACTTTGTCTATTGATCCAGAAAATTAAAAAATACAGAGTTGCAGGTAGTTAAGTCTTGGAACCAGTTCTTCTATAAAATAAAGCCATTATTAAGTGATTGTTCTTAATTTCATTGATGTTTAATTTTGTCCTTAGTCATCCACATTCCTCATGTCATTTCTTATGCTGTACAGTGATTCACTTTTTAACTTTTTATTTGTATGTATACACATGTTGCATGTAAGCCAAGTTTTATATCCTGATCTGCTAAGTACCTTAGATTTGTCCCAGTTGATATGTTGATAGCAACTTTAATAGATACTTCTGAATAGATATTTTTGAATCTGTTGTGTGCCGATTTATTTATCATTCATAACACTGAAATTTTATTAGAAACAGTGCAATTTACTACAGAAGATACATAATAACTTTTAAAAAAAGAAAGCCAAAATTTCCAAAATGAATTATAGCCTTCCTGTGAAAAAAATTGAGTATTTAAATAGGGAAGGCTTATTTTAAGAATGTATAGAGCTCACTGTAAATATTGTCAAATGTGGTTTAAAATATGTCTGCTGACATTTAAAAGAAAGTGTTCTAATTAAATACTAAAAGCATGAGATCACAGTGCTAATATTTATTTGGATGTCATTTGTTTTTTTGTAGTTAAGACTACTACTGCATTATTTCAGTGACATTTTTGCCATGATTTACAGAAGTACATTGCTTTGAAATAGTTTCTTAAATTGTTTTCCTTAATAGACAGTAAACTATGATTAATCTTTCTTAGTAACTCTAAATTGAAAGTAATAAGTACAAAACTCAGTTAATTGAGATGTATCTTAATTAAATGAAGTGAATAAAATACCAGATAAAATACATCATATAATGCTTGAATTAAATAAAAATCATATTAAAACTGAGAATTTTATTTAACTCATTCAGTGAGTGAGGATTATTTTAGTAAGGCCACCCTGGTTGTGTCATTAAATGTCAGCTGTTCCCATTCATATTCTCTCCTTCCTCAAATTATACATTTTCATTTGGATTTTTAAAATTCACATTCCAGAGTTTCTTAAAATTACATAAATGGTGCAATGGTGCAGTGTATATATTTCTTTTGATAATGGGAAGAGCATATTTACCACAGGCCACCGCTTTTGAAACAAAGATATTTATAGGACAGTGAAAAAAATTTTAGGTGGTTTGAGTTAGCAATGAAAACCTGGATTTCATGTAAATCAGAAAAATAGTTTATATTTTGTTTAAAAATATTTTTGTATTCAGCTATTAATTATATATGAAGTTTCAATTTAACTAGGTTTGCTGATAAATTTTTAAAAATATGTGGTTTCAGTAACATGGAAAACAAGTTATTTTCCTCTCATTTGTGTTCCTATTATGTTTTAGCTTCAGTGAATAAGAAGATATTAGTAAATTCCAGTTTCTTAGAATTAATTTTTTCCAAAACATTTTAGTTACATTTTATGTTTCATTCTGTATTACAGATTTTCCAACATAGAAATAAACTTTCCAAAAAATTTTTTTCCTCATTGTTTTACATCAGGTTAACATTTAGTTCTTTTAGTCCCTTAGAACAGGATTGAAATATGTCTGTGGGGCATAGTGGGAAAGACACAGTGAGAGTAGTATTATTGAAATTCCAGAGCAATTCATTTAAATTTTAAATGCACCTCTTTTTTAAAAATAAGAGGTTATTTAGTAAGGGCATCCGAGGGTTGGTTTTAAAGGGTAATGCAGTATCATAACCTTGTCATTGCTCGCAGAATTAAGCCTTTATCTTCTGTCGACAGTTACTTTTAATATCTCCATAGTAATGCTTTTAGTCTTGTAGATACATTCTTGGACTGAACTTTTTTTTCAGAACAGAGAAACTATAATATTTCAACTCTATTTAAAAAATTTTTAATTGATGCCTTAATATCTTATAGAAAAGTTCATCTATTATGGTAGTTTATAACTGAACTGAATATTGGTAACTAGCTGAAAGATCTAGAAACAGTATGTTAACTAGCATCCCCAAAGCTTCTCTGTTCACCCTCTTCCAGGGTGAACCATTATCTTGAATTCCAATATGTAAGATAGTTTGTCCCCTCTTAAATTAAATATAAATGAAATCTTCCAACAGGTATTCCTGTTTGACTGGCTTCTGTCGCTCAAAGTAATATTTATGAAATTTATCCATATTGTAGAATGCAGTTTTTAGATTTCTTTTGCCACTATACAATATCCTGTTATATGAACATTGACAATTTATACACTTATGATCTGCAATTTTGATTTAAAATTAGGTACCTGAAGTTTATGTCAATTTTTTATTCCTTTGCCATTTTCGTTAAGCTTCAAGTATATTAGGGGAGTTTAGATGTCATTCATTAAATATTGTTTGATTTTCTATGTTTAAATAAGCATTGTGCTATGTGTTGGGATTGGGAAAAGAACTAAGCAGAATGCAATGAAGACAAGAGATATCCCTTGACCATACAGTGTAGTGGGGGAGGGACACTAGACACATGTGAAAACAGTTGTCTTTAAATAACAAAATTGATGCTGAAGCAGAATGTCCTGTTAAAGAAAGTAGAAAATTTCCCTGAGACATCAGGGATGGCTTCAGAAAAGAAGTGACATTAGAATTGGGCTTTAATGGTTAAATCATATAGATACCCAGGTATCGAGAGGTTGGTTGGGATAATACTGTCTGATGTACCAAGTTAGGGTTGGTACATTGAATCTGTGAATGGATACAGTGGGGGAGGAATTTGGAAAGGTATTTAGGGCCTAGACTTGTACATGAATAAGGATGTTGAAGCTTCTTAATATGAACACTTAGGAATAGTTAAACCAGTTAAATATTCATTAGCTCTGTTTCTTCTCAATCAGGCTTGTTAAACTGCAGTCATAAGACAGTTTTAAGTTACTTTCTCCTATGATTGAGGGTTCAAGAATGTAATCTTAATCTTAGATACATGCAACATACTTTGGAAAAAGTTCAGAGAAAAATTACTTTGGCTTAGAAAGTCATGGAGAACGTGAAGAAAGTCATTGTTAAGCAGGTTATTAAAGAACGAGTAAGATTTGAAAGAGAATACTATACTTTTTAATACAGTGTCAGATACTTAGTTTGACAAAATTTCCATATCCTGTAAGATGATATTCTGTCCTAGAAAACTAAAACTCAGAGAGATTACATAACTTGTACACAGTTTACACAGTGGCTGGACAAGGATTCTCATGGAGGGTTATCAGGTATCAAAGTCCTTGATCCTTTTCTTACCTGAAGGAGTGAAGATGTGCGTTAGCCTTTGTTAATCACCTTTGAGGGCTCAGTGTGCTTCTTGCCTTATAGTGAACGTATATTTCCATAAGTTGGGAGGCTAGTTATGATAGCACAGCTAATAAATCTGAACTATTCTAGTACCAGTTAATAGTATGTAGATATTACTGTGATGCTGATCTCATAGAACCATAGGTATTTGGGTTAGGTGGAATCTTATGTATTACCTCAATTTCTGAGTCTGTGACAGAGCTTTAGTTTACAGTTATCTATCCTTGAATATTTTATTCAAAGGGAGTTAGTTACTGTGTGAGGCAGCCAGATTCATTGTTGGGCAGCTCTAAATTCTTCCTTTTATTGAATCAAAATCTGTTTTCATGTTTCTTCTTTTTCATAATTATTGCTTATATATGCCATGAACCATTTCTGTACTCATAGGAATGTGGGGAAACACATTTCTTTACAAGACTGAGGGATCCCTCTTAAGTACATTCCTTACTTGACACAGTGCCAGATAGTTTGGTTTTGGCTAGTAAGGTTATTGAACAATTAATTGGTTTGAGGAAGATGCTTCTGTGGAATCTGTGTTTGAGTTCATGTTAATTAGGAAATATAGGATTTGGTGCCGGAGGCTCATGATATTAATGAGTCTATAGGATTGTTTTTGTTGTTGAGTAGTAGGTGTTCCTTATATATTCTGTATATTAATCCCTTATTATACATATATGATTTGCAAGTTTTTTCTCCAAATTCTGTAGGAACACATTGCTTTTCAATGTTAAGTCTATCTTAATCTAACTTGAGAG